AGGAATTGCAACATACACAATTTTTTCAAAACAAATATCTTGTTTTTCAAGGAGCTAGTAATTCCACAATTTTCAAAAAGGGATGATTGATTGAGCATTCAAAGTATTTGTTCATCTGGAATTTTCATATGTTATTTAAATAAAGTCATCCCATCATATCAAGTTTTTTTCACTCATCCAACAAGTAATTGAATACTTACCCCTTGTACTCGATCAAAATATTATCAGTGATTCCTAGTGTTTGCCAACATGAATCAAGCTCCTCGGTTTTATGAACTTTTGTTCTGATCATTGAAAATAAGGCATATGCCTTGAGTGCCATATTTAAGAACAATGAACTACAATCAAACACATCAATATTTTTCACAAAATTTCTGAACATTGAAATTGAACTGAAAACATAAAATCAACAACAAAATCATCATTTTATTCAAATCGGATTGAAAAAAATTAAATCAAGGTTACATGAAGCTAAATTTTATATCAGGTTTCCGAACTATTATTTCTACGTCTAGAAGCCATTCAAGACAATGAAAGATTTATCAAATAAATAACATCAACAAGCTTGTTTCTCTAATCCATTGAATAGGTTGTAATTGAATAGTAGTATTTGAAAACATATCTTGAGCATGTCCTAAAGCATTCATCATATCATTATGGATATATAATCCAAAATTATGATCTCCTAAAAAGAATCTTGTCCTTACATTTCATTTCAATTCTCTCTTCGTCTTTAATTCATCAAGTTTTTTTTTTCTAAATCTATCATGCTTTCTATAAAATATGTCATTATTTCTATCAAAGCATTAGTATAACGATCACTATATTTCTTTCATTCCACATTAGATACTGAACATTGTGTGTGCATTTAGGCGGAGATGAAGGTACAAATATTTTTTTTTCATTTATATTGTATGGTATAATTTTTTCTTAAGCTCGTTCACTCTCAACTCGTGATATCATTCCATTTGGATTGATTTTCGGAAACACATGTTGAAGACATTGTAGGTCTTTCACCATAAAAAAAATCAAGTGATTCTTCCCTTGATTCAATTTATTTCAAGAAAAATTCTTTTAAGTTATTCTACTCTTTGCTTTGAGTAGCATATAAAGAACTGTCACTTAAATTTTTGTAATATGTCACTTTTTAATAGTGAAAAATCAAAGAATCCCACTTGCACTTCAGTTGCTTGAAAGTTGATTATGTATCCTTCAAACTAAAAAATTCCTATATCTTCAGGCACTTAATCTCATTTAATCTCCGATGAAACAATGTATTCTCTACCATAATTTCACTCTTACTCTTCTGCTTTTGATTTTTTAGCCTCTATCAAACATTTTTCGGGTGATCCATTATTGCTTTGATCCATCCATTCTTGCTAATGTATTCTACCTTGAGAAAAAATACCTAAATTACTTGGATTGATCTCTTTTTCATTAGAATCTTGTTGTCGACTCAGTGGTGGAAATAAAACTCAATTGCTTATAGCTCCATATGACTTCAACAAGACAAAGGTTCTAAGTGAGAATTAGTAACAAAAATAAGAAGAGAAAGAGGAACTACACAAGGAATTTTAGGCACTCGCACTCCCAAAGAAAGGTAACATGAGGATGTTTAGATGCAGTGGAATTGTACTAATAATGCTAGTTGAAATTAAACATTTTAGAAGAAATAAAAGATGAAAAGTTCTTAGGTTGAAATTATGAGAGTTGAGTCTCACTATCAGTGTTCTGATTTGAGTTGAACAAATTCAACGTGCCATGTTGGGACTTCATGTTTCCAAAAGTAAACTTTGTAGAGGAATGGTGCCTTTTCACATCCATTGATAAGCCTTGGGCATTTTGAATGGACTCTTCAGCATAGTTCCCATTGCAATCACTCAAGTTTTGTGTGTTTTGACCCTAATCACCTATATATCTAGCAGCATTTAGGTTTTTTTTTCTAGTTCACGAAGCTTAAAAATGTTTTAAAGATGTATGATAAAGATAATCAAAGTTGTAAATGCGGTGACTACTTTGTTTCCAATCCTATGTGTCACACATTTTACAAAGATTTAGCGTACTAAAACATGTTAGTGCGATCGGGCCTTTAGTCGATGTGAGGGCAATGAGGATTGGTAGTGTAACGCGAGGACATCATCTTGCGAGTGAACCTTTCAAGATTCCTTTCAGTAAAACAAGCATTTTGGACATGCAACGTTGCACTATTTGCATATCCGCTGATAGTCTCCAAACACATGAACATTCAGCCCATTCATATCACACACTCATTCCAGTGCGTACTAGGAGAGAACAACATCAGGTTATCCAAAGTAGATACAAGTGAGTACAGAACTACAATGCATGGCGTTGCTAAAGTAAATATGTCATAAGATCAAGAACCATGCAGAATAACCTAGAGCTTCACTTCAGTAATGCACAAAGGCTCACTACAAGATGTCAAGAATTGGAAGGAGAATCACCCCTTATGATAATACTACAAGTTGAGATCACACCGAAGGGAAACATCAAATTGGCATATGGGAAGTCCATGTAGCTAAAACTAGAAACTATGCTCATTCCCACCAAAGTCATCGGCAAGAAACACAAGAACGATTACAGCAACCATGAATCATTGTAAGACCTGATACCCAAGCATAAGAAGATACTATGAAGCTCTAGGTGGCAGACTACAACTCAAAACAAAGGGAGCAAAACTGACATATCAGTCATTGTGCATGCACAATTTCCATATGCTACATGTATTGGGACCAGACGCTATAGCAAAAACGAGAAGATTGAAAGCGAAATCTTTCATGTTTCCTGCATGGCTTTTCACGGCCATGTCAGAGTACACACATGAGTATAATCTCCAACAGCCAAAACAACTTAAAAAAATACTCATGGTGGTGATTCACAAGATCAACAAGTTGCTCTATAACTTACTGGAGTACATACTCCAACTAGTCGAACGGATATTGGCAAGTAAACTCCACAAACATAACAGCTTAAATATAAAAGCAATAGTGATTCAAGTTGTATTGCATTTGTTATTACTCTAAGGATGTCCATAAACATCCATTGTATTTTAGAGATCCCTCTAGAATATGAGGGTTCAAACTTTGATGCTTTACCTGTGATAACCTCACTCATTAGGAGAAATATTGCCAGAAACCACCCATCTGACATCCTCCCGCATAAAACAACCAAAGACCACCCTAAGAAAGAAGAAAGAATCGACCGAATTCTATCATCATTAGTAGTACTGGAGGTGCCAATGCAACCATAGCAAAAAGCCTTGAGTCAAGTAGGCGCTTCCTCACACAACCGCAAAACCTTTAAGCAAACATTACAAATAACGGAGGTAGCAAAGGAGCTCTTAAAAAACTCCCCAGTAACCTCTATCAATTGATAACATATCTTAGCGAAAGTGCACCAGGATGACCTAGACCTAGTAAGGAATTATCTCCGCTAAATCAACCCTGCAAGAAATTGCTACCTAAGTTGCATTTGACACCTATCCATTGGAGCCGGTCTTATTCAACAAGACTATACCAAACAAGCTGAACTTGACAACTAAACAAGTCAAACAAGCATTGGGGAGGACACCAACAAAACAACGATACAAGGGAGAACAAAGGGAATATGCATTGGTCTCCATTTTCCCAACTTTGGCCTCTCAAGCTCGGGAGAAAATGCTACCAACTATAGCGTTAGAAATAGCCAAGAAGAAATGGAAACAAGTCTACTAGCTAGTGACTAAAATATAATTTTATCCTCAACCAAACAATAAGTACAATTTCCAACACTACCTAGACTACAAAAGAAGCAAAGGCAGTTGCAACACTAACCTATGGAATATACACATATGTAATAACAACTCATATCCATATGTCTAAGTTAGGCAACTTAGACATATGGATATGAGTTATTAAATCTACATGTCTAAGTTGTCTAAGTTGAGTAAACTTAACCTTCAGAAGACAATATGAAATCTAGTACTAGATTTCATATTGTCTCCTGAAATCTAGTACAACTGCTCTTACCACATCCTACCATAGCATTATAATTATACCGGTTTGGTGACAAGAAATTCATTTCGTTTTTTTCTGTTTGGGTTACCGCGCTTGAGAATTTCACATGGTATTAGAGCTCTGACTCTAACTCTAAGATCCAAACTTCTGAAGTCAACAAGGTGGACGCATCAAGGAGTCTAACTAGATGGGGATGTCTCAACCAGAAGACTAGAAAACAAACAAGGGGCCAGTAAAGACGAAAAGGAGCATGTCAACGAGACAATCTTTGGAGAAAGGGTGTACAATGGAAAGAAAAAAGGAGGATAATGATGGTTATATCGCCTTTTACACCCCAGTTAGAATTAGGCTTACTATTTTATGGGAATATCAGAAGAAAATTTTACTTCTTGGTTCTAATTTACGTAAAAAAAAATGAAGATAAAAGGCTTACAATTTTATGTTCAACATTTCCGACATACATTCAGATGTTACGAAGAAATTCTTTTGATAGAGACCATTCTACCATTCAGGAGAAAAAGTTGCTTCAATCCAATTTTTCAGTGAAACAAAAAACAAGTATGATATTTCGGATTATTGGGATAGAATTTTGTATTTTGTATAGTTAATTGGATTTACTTTAATTCTCCCCAAAAAAATCCCATAAATCCCGACGTATTGGTATCGGGATTTATGCCTTTCGTGTAGATGGACATACAAAATATACCGTGTGCATCATACGTTTATTGCTACTGATAGTATGATTAAACATAAACTGTGAATAAGCTTGAATAACAAGCGTTTGTGAAACCTTTTGCAACACTTACTGACATTGAGAAGTGAAAGCACCAACTATCACATCAATTTCATAGATATTAATAATTTTATGTGATAATCATTTTATTACCTTATCTCAAGCTCTAATCTGAATAGAAATTTCGCGATGATAAATTTGAAGTTATAAAAATTTAATGAATTATTATTTTTGATATTCAACGAGGACAGCAGGCCGGGATAGCTCAGTTGGGAGCGTCAATCAGACTATCTGAAGATTGCCTGTTCAATCCACGCTTACAGCAAATCGTTGACTCTTGGACCTTGCAGGTTTGTCGAGCTGAGGCGCACTGCTAGATTTACAATTACTGTGGCTTTGACCATTCGAGCTCAATGGTCGAGTTGGAAAATTTGAATCAGCTGAGTGTGAGGTTCACATGTGGCACAACGTAGTTGTTTGTCATACTCAGGATTCATTTGCTCCATCCTCTTTACACATAAACAGCGACATGTGAATATTTAATTCGCATTTTGCTGCAAGCGTAAGGACCGGTATGGGTGCTCTTCAGCTCTCAACAAATACACCTCTGCAGAGAATGAATGTCAGTCAGCCCACAATTGAGCAAAACCACGCAGCACCTGACAACGAAGGTCAGTTTCCAAATCAAAGGATAGATATACACACGTTCATACATATTTTTGCAGGGTACGGCCGGTTTGGCCCATGTCGGAACAGAGAGACCTGCAAGCCAACTCCACATGGCGGGTTGCTTTTCTATGTGATAAGAGTCAAAATGAAAACTGATTCCGCAACCACAAGCTGGAAGATGCTTAAATATTCTTGCTGAACATTTCGTCCGAAAAGCCCGATTTTGTCAGGATTTTTTAGACGTGCACTTTCGGGGATGGTAGGTTAAAAAATAGGTGCAAGATATTCTTGTCGAGAAGTTGTGCACAAATGCGCCCATGCTGCTTTAACTTTCCATATATTCAAAGATTCCAAGCAGATTACAGGGCGTTTTGATAGAGTGTTCTGTTGTAAAGCTGGTCAGTCAGATTAGTGTTGATATCATAAGATGCGTCTTTAATCTACAGCGGATAAATGATCTTAATTATAATACATGTCATGAGTATGTTTGACTGAAGGTAACGAATTCTCGGCGGCTCTGTAGGACGCTGACATCGGAACTTATGTTATTTGTGTTTGTTAAGTGAATACTATTATTTATTTGTTTGGTGTTAGTTATGATAATAAATTTATATCCGCAAGGTACATTCGAACTCATTGGGGAGATTTCTTACACGAACAGGAGAAAATAAACTAATCGATACCAACTGAAAATCAATTACACACTTGAACCTTGTTATTGAACATCATGTTGTTAGCTGCTAAAAGCTGGAACAAGATTGGGAGTTAGATATACACCATTTCAAAGGCAAAATTCATAATCCCTGAATGCTTTAGAGAAGAGTCATTGTGGGTAGAGAAGAGTCATTGTGGGTGTTGTAAACCTTATTAGACATGTCTTTGATTACTTGACTACTTCATCTTGTAGGCTTGAGAGTTAAGGTATCAAAATATAGGACTTGGTTTCCTTTGGACATTCCTCCGCATCTCCAACTTCCATAGGGATGTATGACATCGATAAACGGCTTATGCATTCTTGGAGTGCCAGTAGGATCTGAGGATTTTGTCTCACACTACCTAGATATTGAACTTACCGAGGATGTTTTGCATGTAGATGACCTTCCTTTTCTAGACGATCTACATGTTCCGTTTGTTATACTCTCATCCAGTATTGCTCGTCAATCCAACAAGCTTCTTCACACGGTTTCTCCTTCACCTTCATTCATATCACAATTGACAATCTTTGATAGGAGGATCATGGGCGTCTTTAGTGATATCATTGGACCAAGGACCTTGAAGTGTGTGACAGAGGATTTGGCACGGAGACATACATCTTTGATCTTTGCCGATTTTATGTCGAGGGGTAGGCTTATTATAGATGAAAGAGACTGCACCTATAGCATTTTTTGCTAGTTGGGCACTCCCATCACCTTTGTTATCTTTTCCATTTGTGATTGCAAATAGGCCAATCCTTGAAATATATTCGAGGGATGTGGATATGAGATTATTTCTTTGCGATATACAAGAGATGCTTTATCCATGAAGGTACGATATGAACTCCCATCTTTTTGCTCTTTGATTACCAATTGAACTAAAAATCTATAATCTACCTTGATGGATGATAGTTTTAGCATGCGCTACATTCACTCTTAGTGGATAAAGCCATTCATCATTGTTTTAGGGGTCGTTTATGTTGTTGCTTTGGATAGGGTGCTGGCTCGTAGATCTTGGCTTAGCCATGCATCATAGCTTTATGATTTACACCAACTACTTCTTTACAATGATGAAGTTTCCTCTTGGCTTGGTCCATCCATCTACATCGTTATTATTGATATGTGAGTGTGGTATCATTTTAGATGTAGCAAGTGTTCATATAATTCATTGCCCATTCAGAATGCATAGGATAGCTACCCATGATGCCATTAGGGATGTGGTGTTTACTATGACGCGACACTATGGATACCTCACATGGAGGAAGCGTTGGTATGCCTTGCAATCAACTAGGGTTAGGGTAAACCCATACTTGGCTCAGAAGCACTAGGTTATTGTGGAAGACGTGGTGGTTTCCGATCCTACACGTTTTACAATTTCAGAAGCGATGATCACCCATTCTCTAGAATGGGTGGTGAGTGGAAGGGAAGCAGCCAAGGTCTCCAAGTATAGGGTTATGTAGAGAGATCACATGTTTGTTCCTCTAGCTTTAGAATTACATCGAGTTATGGACATCTACTTTGACATGTTTGTGAGAGAGTGCGAAACAAACATGTCAAAGGGTATCACTCTCTTCAACTTATTGTATAGCATATTTTAGTCAATCTTTTTCCATTGCTCTACATAGAGTATTAGCTGATGCAATCCATAGCAAAGCAATCACGTTGGATAATGTTTCTTCAAATGCTCATGTTGTTTGTAGACCGTTTGATCTTAATAGTTTGGATATCTTAGGTCATGTAGGACATATTTTTAAGTGTGATGCAATTGGGACCTAGCCCCATGTTACTGTTTTGGTTTCATCCATGTACAACTTGACGGTGTCGCATGGACAAAGCTTCACTCTGAGAACGCCTTAGCGCCTAGCTGTAGAAGAACTCTTCTCGACCTCGTGCAAACTAACAATCACCCCCTCTTTCACCTCCTCATCTCTCCACGCCCAACTTGTTGCATCTCGTAAACTCTAGCAAAAGAAGATCATTGTAACCAACGATTGAACCGTTAACTCTCAGCCAAACTTCAGAGATAAGTACTTTGCAACTATTCATAACTCTCGGAAAATTTTCATATGCTTTTTCTTTCTCAATCTCTCGTCACAAATGTCGAACTATACCCTCTATCACAAGACGATATGCAGATCCTTGTGTACTAAAACCATTATAAATCTCAATTCTTCAATCCACTTGCACTCAAATTTCACGAGAAAGTGACTTATCATCCAAGCTTCAACTCTGTAAAGTTTTATTAACCAATCTTGTCGATATCATGAGTAATGGTTATCAAACTAACTCTATAACAGTCAATACAATCATGCAATTCAGACTGTGAACACAAACTTCAAACTATTGATTTGTACTCAAAACTCATCTAATCGAGCTGAAATTTCAATCAAATCGCAAATTCGGGTTGTAAACTATACATCTATCAAACCTGATCTGTGAAAACCTTTTTACAATACACTCAAAATCGACCCAAACTTTCCAATCGGCCCAAATTTGACTCTTCAACTTCAAATCACCACAACGGAGTGTCAACTTACTCAATCGCCTTCATTCTTGAGCCAAAATCGTAGATCTCCCCGTGAGCTTTCCAACCATATCCTTCAATCCTGAGAAACTGCCTTAGAAGGCTCCCGAAACTCCTCAAAACCCCAAAGAACTTGCCCAAGTGCTCTCATTGGTCTAAATTTCCCAACCAATGAGAATGAAGAGTGCCATTTTGACCTCTAGTGGGCCAAATTAGCCACAACTAACTTAGAGCTTAACAACTAGCCTAAAAACACTACTTAGCCATCATATAGGTAATACGAGTTGTTGCTAATAAAGAGTCAAAATAATAACTCGAAACCGGCTAAGTATGAACGGAACAACAAAAGGGACCGGGGAGTTTATAACTTGAGTATAATACTCCTCGCCAAAATTCCTAACAATCAACTCCTTATGACTTGCCTTTGGTAGACAATAATGATGGACAGGAACCCATGTGTTGAAAGGCACCGCTACCGGCAAGTTCAGATCCATAACGCCAATATCAAATTAAAACGTAAACTGTTAAGTCCCAAGTCACGCTGTCGTGTTGTGACACGGCTACTATGAGAAGATGATGACATGTGTCATCTTCAGAGCTGTTGAGATGACGGTGATATTTTGGCGATATTTTAGGTCGGGATGGCCGACGCTCATTGTAAAAGTCATTAAGAAGCCACGGTTGGATTGTCATCCTAGGGCCAGGATGTAGATAAGGATCCAAGGGATATCATCTTGGACCTTATCGGATATAAAGCGTGGTTGGAGTCGAAAGGAAAGGGGGAGGTCTAGAACGTCGCCGACTAAGGAGCTTATCCGATAGAAGTGGAGCCAACGTGGGGCATGGATAGAGGGGCGGTATGATCCTCCAGTTATACCGATGCCCAATCCGTTTGTGATAAGCATCCGGTGTCTACATCGTGATCACTTTAGGGCATGGTTAGTGTATCACTTTGGAGATAGCTTTTATGGAAGTGGTGATAAACTCCCCATATCCTTTCATTCTGCCAATTGTTTCCTACGGCGCGACTTGGGACTTAACAATCTACGTTTTGATTTGATATTAGCATTATGGACCTAAACTTGCCGATAGTGGTGCCTTTCAACACATGGGTCCTTGTCCATCACTACTGTCTACCAAAGGCAAGTCATAGGGAGTTGATTGTTAGGAATTTTGGCGAGGAGTATTATACTCAAGTTATAAACTCCCTGGCCCCTTTTGTTGTTCCGTTTATACTTAACCGGTTTCGAGTGGTTATTTTGACTCTTTATTAGCAACAACTAGTATTACCTATATGATAGCTAAGTAGTGTTTTTAGGCTAGTTGTTAAGCTCTAAGTTAGTTGTGGCTAATTTGGCCCACTAGAGGTCAAAATGGAACTCTTCATTCTCATTGGTTGGAAAATTTAGACCAATGAGAGCACTTGGGCAAGTTCTTTGG